TCTAGCATTCTGCTTCGTTACTCTGAACTACGTGAATGAGGTCAGTCCTGTCAGGTCAGTCTTTGTATCAAAGTCTTCCCTGCGCTCTTCAGCATCTTTATGTATGAATGAGAATGTACATTGCTTGTCGAGATTCTACTCGTACCGCATTGTCTATTCAGTCCTTTTCATCACATTGCAGATTCTCGGTTTATTACGTACATTGCATATCTGTGCATGTAACAGTTTTTGACGTAGGAACAGTTGTGTATACTGACTCTTTTCTTTTGCTCTGTTTTTCATAAGCTCAGGTTGTTGTGACCGTCCTGCATCCCCCGCATCTGCACAGGAGTTTTTGCTGTCCGTAAGGTCGTATTTGGGGACACAGTGTGCGTGCCTGGTCTGATCTTGGTGGATTTGTATTGCTGTTTTGTTGTCTTTGCTTAGAAACCTGCAACCGCCCCGATCCCAGTCCTGACAGTTGGAGAGGAAGGCAAGGTGCGGAAAGGCTCTGTTGAGGAGGTGGCATCACCTGCTGGAATGGCCGAGCATGATGCACAAAACTTGGATTTGAGGGTCGTTGATGTTGGTGTAAGGGAAAAGAGCGGTCAGCAGGGCACATTCAATGAATCCGCACAGCGAAGAAGTGCTAAGGGAGGGGATGTGGTTGAGAAGGTGAAGGGCGAGGAATGTGCCACTAAGGCTCTTTCGGTCATAGTGGAGAAGGAGAGGATCCTCAATGATGGAGTTTTTAAACGGCAACCTGCTCCGGCAGAGGCTGACCAGATGGAAGCTGTGACAAACCACAAGGGAGTATGCATGCAGGAGACACATACGCTGATGGAGAGCACAAGTACTGAATCAGATTCAGTCAGATTGATGGTGAAAGACAGTGCAGAGCAGATGTATCGTGCTGGTGATCTGCAACAGCCAATTGAACGAGGCCACTCTGAAACTGGCTCCTATTCTGAGGTACACAATAGCGCTTATGTCCCTGGTATCATTATAGCCCTATATATTGTATACTGGTGAACAACAGCCAGGCCCAGCCAAGCGTAGTATGCATTGATGTATTCCAGCCTGGGTTGTTTTTTCATGCCCGGCCGGGCAACCGGGCAAGTCGCCCGGGATACCCGGGCAAGTGAAGAAGTGGGTTTTTCTTTTTTCTTTTGGCAGGGGGGGTCTTCCGCACATTCGCAGAGGAGCCCGAATCCAGGCTCTTTTCTTTTCTTGGGTGTTGGCTATCAAGGGGGTGGAAGGGGGTATAAATTGGCTTTAATAGGGCTAAAGGGGTTTAAAGGGGGGTACCTTAGTCTGATTTTGTTATTTTCTTTTTTTTCTTTTATTCAACGAGGATTCAGATGTGCCCGTCAGCCAAAAGTTGTTTGCATTTGAAAATCTACACAACATTTTTTTTTCCCGGAATCTTTTGAATTGTAATGAACCCAGTCTGAAAGATACTCGTCAAATGTCGAAGTACAGGAAAACTCAGCGCTGAATAATGTCTCCAAATAATTGTGAATGTGATCTGTAATACAATGTCTTGTGACCAATGGACGAAGAGAGGAGAGGAGGAATATTTAGAGGGTGGAAGAGATAGTATCCATCAATGACCACAGAGATAAGAGCCCAACATTTCCCTCTCCTTCTCCAAGCTTCCCCCTCGCCTCCACGTCGGCAAAGTGTCCAATAACGAGCCTGACAGGTCCTGATCACATCAGAGTGCCACGTGGCACGGTTCTACCGTGAAGACGTTCAGCAGCGTACAGTATCGACGTCAGCAGCAGGTAAGTATCTCCTTTCTCTCTCAACCATCCACAGATCCCGATCTCCCTCCTTGTCGCGTCCAACTTAGCAATGAAGACAGTGTGGAAGATGCCACGTCAGCAATAGAGACAGGGTGGCATAAGCCACATCAGCAATGCCAAAGACAGCGTGGTTTGCGCCACGTCAGCAGAGGCTAGCGCCAAGACAGGAAGGCGCCAGCAAGCAAGCAGCAGTCTCGCGTCGTCGTCCACAGTGCCAGCGTACAGCCAGCATCAAGCCAGGTGTGTTTGTCTGACCGGCAGCCTGGGCTGGGTCCATGCAGACTTTGACTC